AGTTGGGGTTGTTCAGCCTGGAGAAGAGAAGGCTCCGGGGAGACCTTATTGCAGCCTGCCAGGGCTTAAAGGGGTCTTAGAAGACAGATGGGGACAGACTTTTTAGCAGGGCCTGTTTAGGACAAACGGTAATGGTTTTAAACTACAAGAGGGCAGATTTAGACTAGTTCTAAAGTGGAAATTTTTGCCACTAAGGGTGGTGAAACCCTGGCCCAGGTTGCCCAGAGAGGTGGTCGATGCCCCATCCCTGGAAACTTCCCAGGTCAGGTTGGACACGGCTCTGAGCAACCTGATCTAGTTGAAGATGTCCCTGCTTACTGCAGGGGGGTTGAACTAGATGGCCTTTAAAAGTCCCTTCCAACCCAAACTATTCTATGATTCTGTGGTTGCTCTGAGCTGGTTACTTGTTCACATCAGCATCCTCATCAGTGTTCTGAGACACATGTAGGTAGGTCAGAATATGCTCTCCATACATTCAGTTTCTCTCAGCCATGTCAAATAAGCGGGAGCATACTGGCTAAAGAGTTTTTGGTGGTTTTTGTTTTTCTGGAGGATTTCTGTGTTGGGTTTTTTTAAGCACACTAGATTTTAGGCATTTTGCATCACTGGGTTCTTTGTAGGCACTTTGCTTTGGTACTTGTGGCCCAGCTGTGATAGGTATGGCCCAAACCTGCCACAGAAGCTTTTTTGTGCCAACAGCCTCGTCACTGCCAAGCAAAATGGTAGTACTTTCAGGTTCTGAACCACTCTTTGAATGAGCTTTACTTTTGTCCAGCCTCCAAATTCTCTTTCCAAATACTCTGGTACTTGTCCTGGCACTGAGGGCTTGTAGAAATAAGATGCCATTAATTCTTTCTAAGGAGCAGGTCTCTAGGAGGTAGCTTGGAGGTTGACTGTCTGCAGAATTACTTGACTATGGTTTCTCCTCCCCTCTCATGAGTGTACTGAGCCAAGTCACTGCCCTCTGGATGCACACTGCATTGGGGAGCACATTTCTTTTCTTGTTAACAGGGCAGTTTTGGTCCTTCTCTTGATGGTCTGGCATTCATCATTATCCTGTGCCTGGAGACAGATTGTACCAGCTGAGAGTAAGTTTTTGTTCTGCCTCGTCTGGAAAAAAACAGCTTGCCCTCATTGCATCCAGGTATATCAATTAGACTGTGAAGAACAAGCACCACAAGAGACTGAATATCATAGTGAAATGTTTTCATTTCTTGAATTTTGAATTGTCCAGCTGTATTTGCCAAACATGGAATGGTGTTTCATCTGCAGTTTATAGAAGACTTTCTCCTTGTAGATACAAGAGGCTTTCTTAACAGAGTTTTAACAGAGCCCAGCAGGTTGTTCAGATGTTCCTACAGTGCTATTGATCCAGCCTTCAGAGAGCCAGTTTTCAGGAAATGAGACACCTCCTCCAAAAGCGCCGGTTCTTTTGTTCAGAAGAGGATTCGTTTCATGTTCTGACAGAAGGTGGCAGATGCATGTGGTTTTTCTGATCCCCCACCCCCAGTACTTTGAAAGCGAAGATGGGGTTGAGTGGCTGGCAGTGATCTCTTGACACCGTTCTGGCACAGCCAGTTCTTCTTCCAAGACCTCCTGATCCATCAGTGAAGGCTGTGATCTGTCTTTGCTGCCTGCCAGATCCACTGACAGAAGACCTGGGGAGGATCGAGCATTTCAACGTCCTGCATCTCAAAGCTTTAGTGTTGGATGACATCATTCTAGAGAGCTTGGTCATCTGCAGTGAGAGAGTAGGAAGCATTTATCCAGGTGTATTTATTTAGCAGAGTGGAATGGATTCTTGATCTGGTGTTCTGCTCTCTCTGGCCTTCCATTTCCTTTGTTTTGGAGTATTTGCTTGATTTAAAGTATCCACGCTGGCCAGTTACTTCCATTAAGGTACTTTTGGCAGCTGTTTCTGGACTCGGTCCCTTCTTCTGAGAGCTCTTTGGTGGTCTCTGTTTACCATTCTCAGCTGTGTATGAGGTCTGGTTAAATGCCTCCTTTACCTCAATAGTATTTAAATTACATGCTTGTATATCTCAAAGATGTTTTCTCTGAGGCTCTTACTCCCTGTTTGCTCTTGTACCTTTCCATAAAAGTGGCACTAGCAGTCATTGCTACCTCTGCCAGAAGTGGGGGTGAGGCTTAGGCCTTACTGGCTGATCAGTCTCATGCAACCTGTGCTCTTGGCAGAGCGGAGAGTAGGTCCCATCCCGAGTTTCTCCCCAGGGTTGGCTCTGAACTACATTGGAATGGGGATATTAACTTATCAGTTCCCTTTCCCAGACCTCATGATTCCAGAGGATTTTTTCATGACTTGGCTGTTGAAAAAGTCTGTATTTTTATATTCTGAAGGCTTAGCCTTGCAGATGATCCCTGAGATCACTTCCTTTACTGGGGTCTCTGGGGATGGCTCTCTGCTGGGCTAGCTGTTGAGGTGAACAGTTTGTGGACATATGGCAAGTGTGAGGTAGAGCCAGCAGCAATGATCCATGTGTTCCACCAGACACTGGCCTGTTTCAGCTTTGCTCAGCGATGTCTCTGTCTTGCAAGAGCACCATGGGAGCTTTGAGGCATTCAGAAATGGTGCTGCACTTTGCAGAGTATTGTTAAGGTGATTAGTTTTCTGCAAACGAGTTCAGGACCCAGCTCTGGGTAATAATGAGAGTTGGGGCTACTGCTGGGTACAGGCCTGCCATTGCCTGTGTGCTTTGATTGCATATGAATTTTTCTGTCTTACTTGCTGTAGTGTAACAGTTGTCTGAATTACTTCATCTAAGCTGTGTTTTTCGGCCATGCCCCAGCTGGTGACATACGAGAAGCAGAGGTTTCCCGTGTGCTCCAGAATGCATTCCTCAATCACAGTTGATGCCAGTGTGTAAGATGGTGTGTTAAATTTCGGCTTGCTGTATGTAGCATTCTCCCTTTTCTAAGACAGCTCAGAAGTAATTTTGTCTTTTCAGAAAACCATGACTCAGGAGAATTGGACAGATCATGTTCAGGTGAGTATGGATTTCCCCCTCCCATTTTCTCAGGGTTAGTTGCTTAGAGATGATTTTAAGACGTTCAGAATATCCAGCTCTGGTTGTTGTAGTCCTACTATTACAATTTTGCACTCTCTCATAACCTGTAAGCGTATAGCAAAATTGTACGTGCAAGGAAGAGCAAGGAAGAAAATTTATATTTTAATTCCTGTTATGTCTTTAAAAATGCTCTAGTTAGGCTGGAGCATTTAGATAAGATTATAAAGTACGTTCTTTTACTTTCATGCATTTATTTATAAGTGAACACTACAAATATTTATGTTGATTAATTACAAGGAGGGGGGAAAAGGAAGTTCTCTTCAGGCAGCTAACAAGGTGTGTGAGTAAATCAGGACAAATGTTAGTTTCCCTCTGCATGCTCCACTCTTTTTCAATAGGTTTATTAGGTCACTCTTAGATATTGTGAACTTCCACTCTTGTGTTGTAGGACACAAGTAATTTTAATAACACAGGAAGAAGGATAGCATGGGTGGAATGCTAGTACTTATTTTTCTTGGTGTGTAAACAGTCGAGTTTAGGCAACCTTGTTTTGGCCTGATACTACAATAAACATATATGTGACAATGAAATATAAAGAAATTCCACAGTGACAAACCATTAGTGATTATTTATGTGTCCGTGATATCCCTATGGAATTGCAACCTCATGGTGAGTGTTTGCTCCTTCTCTGTAACTCCTCTCAGTTTGAATTCTGCAGCCTTTAAGGATTTTTGACCATCAGCTAGAGTCTTCCTTTGAAAATTCATTTGAATGGTCATTGTGGGCCTCTGCGTGGTAACAGGACAGTCTGATGACTAATGATCTCATGCATTTGAGGTCTTAGGCACTGTCTGTGCACACCAGTGAAATGACTGAATTTTAAACATTTCTTCTCTCTTTCATGGGTCAGCAGGCAAAACAACAAT